CTTTCAGCAGCGCTGCTCGTCTGATCTCAATGATTTTGTGGTCTGCAGTGTGTTTGCAGCGCCCCCAGGTGGCCTTCTTTCAGCAGTGCTGCTCGTCTGATCTCAATGATTTTGTGGTCTGCAGTGTGTTTGCAGCGCCCCCAGGTGGCCTTCTTTCAGCAGCGCTGCTCGTCTGATCTCAATGATTTTGTGGTCTGCAGTGTGTTTGCAGCGCCCCCAGGTGGCCTCCTTTAAGCAGTGTGGCTCTCATGTTACTCACATCCTGTCTTCACAGTACCGCTCCAGGCTGTTGTAAACTACATCCTCGGTGGCATCCTGACCATCACAGTACTGGCCATCATCCTGCTGGTGTTGCTTTGGATTAAGAAGTGGGTGTTTTGACTCGTTCCCTAAGATGCATTTCCATTGAGTGTCACATAGGGGGCGAACTGTGTCTTTCAGCTGCACTTTAAATCACTGGTGAATATTCACAGAAGGGGTAGATTCTCCGGAGACACACATGGTATGCAGGTGGGGGCTTCACGAGCCGCACCTGTCAGAATTCATGATTTCTGTTATACTGGATTCCTTTCAGATATCGAACCTTGCTCCGTACCATTCAGGACCTGCGTGGGTTTGGGGCGATGCTTAAAGTTTCCCCTCCTGAGTCGCCGATCATGGCTGTGCCCAGCGTCCAGCAAGTAGAGGAGCCTGCCTCAGAATCTCCTTTGAAGAGACAGAGAACTAAGACTTCATCTAGGTTGTTATGGAAACCACCTCAGCAGGTGAGCATCATCCCTCAAACAGTGACCAGATGTCTATCAGTTAGCTGCACAGTCCCTGTGTACAATAAAAAGCCCATTGTTGATTTCTTCAAGAAAAACAGCTCAGGTTGTTTTTTTTTTTATTCAGGTTATCCTTAAGCTTGCAAACTTGTACTGCATTTGAACTTTGAAATTTGTCCCCCTGAAGGGCCCCCGCTTCACAAAAGCTGACCTTAACCTGCAGCAGCTGATCAAGGCTGGGAAGGAGGGGGTCTATTACAAAGCAAAAATGAGCCGGGGAACCTGCAAGGGCCACTCCATATTCACCTGCAAGATCACCAAAGAGGGTAACGTTTACATTAGGGGCTCCCAAACCAATTCAGTTCCATTAAGATTATTGAGTGAATCATTCAATACATTGGAAATTGTTCAATTTAATGGTAATTCAAGTCAATTAATTTGAAAACCAAAATTAAAAACTTTTTTTTTTACTACACTGAGAAAATTTCACAACTATTACTATGTGAACTTAGCTACACACTATTAATGGAATACAAAGAAAGTGGAATCTCAGAACATTTGTTTTTAGTTATTACTAAACCGAGAGAACACTAGTGATGGCTAAATTAAGATTCATGAACCAATTGCTGTATTTTCTGACACCATTAGATGATGCTCTTTATTCAAATAAGGGCTAAATTCATGCCCCAATGCAAACCAGTAAAAAAATACAGAAAATGATTCATGGAGCTTCATTTGGCCATTAGAACACGCTAGTGAAAAATTGTCAAAAGGCCAACTAATTAATTAAACACTTTAAATGAAGCAATACCTGGTGGGGGAAGGGGTGGGTTGCCGGCTCAGATTAGTGGAATGATGTTTATGCTGTGGGAAATGAAAGATCAGTCTGTGAATTATAAACCTGTCATGGGCTGGTAGTTTGAGATCTCTTCCAAGTGGTAAATGAGCCAACTAAATCCCTCGCCCTCCACGACAGATAACAGCTCGTCATCCAGCGCAAACATCTCCATTATTACAGTTGTGTCTTTATCTTTAGTACTGTTAACTTTAAATACTGAGCCAATATCTTAATTTTTAATGAATATTGGCCAATACCGATATGTCAGCCATATGCTGTGCATCTCTAAAGCTAACATTTCTTTTTACATAACTGGCTAGTTAGCTGCCCCGGGGTCTTCACCATTGCTGCTAGAGGTGGGGGAAATAATAATTCAAAAAAAGAATAGATTATTTTTAAAAGTGTATATAAATAAAGTGCATTCAAATACATTACAATTTTGGAATGAGCTGGAAGCAGGAGCATCTTTATTTTACGTCCAAAAAAAATCAATTTTACAGATCAATGCATTGAATCACCACCATAAAAATTGATTCAATGCATCTTTACACCCCTAGTTTACACTCAATCACCACACTGGTGCTCAATTCTTTTTTGTCCTACAGGTGTCACTTCCAAGCGGGTGCAGATGGAAGTGTCCATCATGAAGAAGTTAGTGCATCACAGGAATGTGCTGCAGCTACTGGACTGGAACATCACCGAGGGTGAGGGGGGTGCTGTTCCTTAGGTGTTACTCCTGAATGTGTTGTCACCTTTCCATAACGCAAATTGAACCATCCTTTATCACAGAGCCCTATGTGCTGCTCATGGAGTTTGTGAATTATGGGACCCTTCGCAATTTTCTTCAGTTGAATCAAGAAACCCTTAGCACCAACGAGGACTTACAGCACCTCTTCACGATTGCATCCTATCACATTGCCCTGGCCTTGGAACACTTGCACTCTAAAATGGTACAATCTCCTATGCCATTACACCACCAAAAATACACTGTTTGGGGATACCTGCACTCTAAAATGGTACAACCCATAATGCTACTACACTTCCAAAAATATAGTTCTAGAATTATCCCACAAACGCCACTGTACCGCCAAAAATACACTGCTCTGAGGCACTCTCTACATTGGTTCCCCTCTTATGTACAGTTAACATCTAAGGGCGTATTTGCTTTTGTTAATTGCAAAAAGCTTTGTTGCACCTACAACACTCATAACAATGATGTTCTGAATCGGATTAACACAGCACTGTTCCAAAGCAATATCTTAAAGCAAAGCTGCACTGACTGCCCAGGTGGTTCACTGTGACCTGGCCCTGAGGAACGTCCTGGTGCACCATTTCCCCATGGAGGTGAAGCTAGGCGAGTTTGGGCTGGCCAGAGACCTGACTCGCATGAGAAGCCGTCGGAGCAGCCACAAGAAGACCGCCAGGGTGAGGCCCCAGCAGAGTGGCGGGCCATCTTAGGGCATGGCCGTTACGTGCTACAAGCTTCCTGGCTTTTCCTGTGTTTTGCCAGGAGAGAGTTCCCCTGCGCTGGTACCCACCGGAGTATTTCAGGAACAGCTACTACAACTTCAAGGGGGATGTTTGGGCCTTCGGCATCTTACTGTGGGAGATGCACACTTTTGGTGAGTTTAGTAAAGACCACTAATGATGACATCTGTAATCCACCTATCATACAACACAACAAAAAAAAAGGTATTTATGTGACAGGCACCTTGCCATATCCCAGTCTGGAGACATCAGAGGAGGTGGTGTGTTATGTTTGTGCTGGGCAGAGGAATGCGGATCCAGAGGGCTGCAGGCCAGAGATGTGAGTGCATCAGGTTTCAATGTATTTCAGTAAAACACATCGTCAAACATAACAGGGCTGAGGGTGTCAGCAGTATTTGTTTTTAAATGCTTTATTGTGGTTAGATGAGGTTCGGCTTACTGTTAGGTCCTTTTCATGCTTTACTGTGAAGTCCACGTCACGTTTTACTGTGACATCCTCATCATGGTTTTCTGTGAAGTCCATGCCACAATTTACTGTGAAGCCCTGATCAGGTTTTACTGTGAAGTCCTCATCGTGTTTTGCTGTGCCGTCCTCGTCATGCTTTACTGTGAAGCCCTCGTCACAGTCTACTGTGAAGTCTTCATCATGGTTTACTGTGAAGTCCTCTCATTCTTCCTGTCTCTCCATGCTCAGACTGCAGATGATGAAGGACTGCTGGCTAGAGCTGCACTCCCACAGACCTTCGTTCACAGATATCGTGAGGATCTTGGACAACATCCTGGAGAATGACTCTGTAAGTAATCTCGGCTCCTCACTCCAGAACTCCCCATCTTCCACCCAGGTGAATACAAAATTCTACAAATTTCTTTTAACAGTTACTCTGGAAAGCACACTCTAGTGTGTTGTTGAAGCACACAGACACATAAACAGTAATGCATCTTTCTAGAGTTACTGATGGGGCCCATGATGCTAACCTGTGGTGGTCATTTATCTGTCAGGACTATGTGGATGTGGATGGTGAAAAGCTGCTGGGCCCAGGAGAACCATGACAGCACAAGCGGTAGTGATGGGGACAGTTCCACATATATCAAGTCTGATTCAAGACCACGAACTTGAAGGACACAGTCTGAGTCAAGACAGAGACTTGGGGGTGGGGGGGATCAGTATACAGCCAATGCAGCAAAGGTAAATACAGTGGTACCTCAGAACTCGAACTTAATCCGTTCAGAACTCCGGATCGAATCCTAAAAAGTTCAAGTTCTGATCGAATTTTCCCCATACGAAATAATGGAAAACCAAGTAATTGGTTCCAGGCCCCAAAAAATTACACCTAAATATGTTTTTTTAGCAAATGAACCGGATAAAACAAGAAGAGCATATACTGTACTAAACACATCTAAGCACATTTATCAAAACACTAATTTGTAAAGTAAGAAAATAAATGTATCCAAACAATGTGTAAAGTTAAAAAAATGTGTTCTGCCCCGATCGTCCGCTTCTTCCGTGCGCCACGCCCCCTCGTTAACCCCGTGTGGAATCCCCGTGTGATAAGCTGTTTCTGGTTGTTGTCATTAGTCCTCTGTATTTAGTCTGCGTTTCAGTTTGTTTCCCCAGTCCGGTCATTGTATTGTCCGTCTGCTTTTGCCTGCTTTACCTGTAATTAAACCCCATATTCCCCGATACCCTGATGTCTGCGCCTTTGTCTCTCTTCCGTCCCAGCTCGGCACTACAATATTATTATAAGTAAATGTATTAATGGTTTATTATTTATATAAAAATAATTAATAAGAAATCTTTATTATAAAATGTATTTCATTGTATAATTACTGTTACTGTCTATCGATGTCTAAATGTTTTTTTACTGTCTAAATATATGTATTCAGCTAGTGTAAACATGCGCGATGCTATCCCAGCGAAAGCGAGCCTGAGACTGAAGCGTTACCCTTTGTTTCCTCTGAGAGATGCCGCGTGACTCATTTTTCCGCGCGTACAAGTTATCTTAGGTCGGCGTTCACGGTTTGAATTCTGAGATTCAGATCGAGCTCAACATAATTTTTTTTCTAACTGGTTAGTTCGACTTTTAAGAAATTCGAGTTCTAATGAGTTTGAGAACTGAGGTACCACTGTAATAGATTAATTTTATTTTTATTGATTGTATTTTATCATATTAACATGTATCATTATTTCGAGAGGAGCAGAAGAGACCAGACTCGAGTACTACAACACTACCAGGAGGTGTGAACTGTGAAGCTTTGTGAACATCAGTCCTGCAGGGATTCTCCAAGCGGAAAGAGCCTTGGCGATTATGCCTGAGATCCCACATGGCATCACTATAGTTTAACACGGAGTTTGATGAGGGTGACAGACTCAGATAGGCCTTGGGTGCAGCTCCAATGCAGGGCAAGATAAGTGATGCTGTAATGGAACTTTACATGACAAAAGATGCCTTAGTGATGGAAACGTAAACTTGCACTGGACTGTAACCTGATTTGGAAGTTGCTCCTACGCCAAGGTCATAAAGATACCCTCATGAGGGGTTTAAACTCCTTTGTTGTCTCTCAGTCATAAAACCTTTTTATTTCTGTCTCGTTCAGTTGCGTTCAAAACTCAGGCTGACAGGGTGTCTTAGTGGGTAGCAGTATTACCTACAGTCCTGCAGTTTTGGATCTCATCTGTGCAGTCTGTGGGTGGAAGCAGGACCTTCTCCTATCACCATATTATTATTATTATTATTTCTGCTTAGGAGTTGCAGTTCACTCCAAGGGTGGTTTGTGGCTCAGTAGGTTGGTACTCTTGTACTTGGGATTAACTGGTCGTTGAGTCAAGTCTCAGGGCCCTTAACCCTTATTACTCCAGGGGCACTGCATGCTGGTCACCTCCCAAGGTTGTTCCCACATGTCCATATGTCTCATGGCGATTAATAAAGCATATCTATTCATATATCCACCTTCATTACATGTATCCTGCTCAGGGTCATATGGATGATGATTTATTATTGTTGTTGTTGCATATTGTAAAGATGCTTTTAAACTAATAATACAGTGTTTCTCAGTCCTGTTCCTGGAGGATCCCCTGCCAGAATGTTTTATTTCAACCCTACCCTAATCAGGCTCTGATTAAGTGCGGTACCTTAAATATGACAAATTGACATGACAGCTCTACATGGCTCCTCCCTTTTAACACGCCTCCCGTGTCACGCTCGTACAAACAACCAATCATATTAAAATAATACATACGTCATATACGTCACTTCCGTTTTTTGTGGAGTCAAACCATTCAAAGGTTCGTCGCTTTTTGTTTTGAAGGTAAAGCATTTCAAGTGCGATTTTTTTGGCTTTATTTACGATGTTTACGCGTGTTTTGGAGGCTATATTTTTCCTGTACTTCGCCTCTCATATCCCTATTACTTTGTTCATTGATCTCCAAGCTTTACTTCCCGCTCAGCTGTATCCACAGCCAGTAAGTAAAGAAATCTCCTCGGCTGCTTTTCAGACACAATCAATGTGTGATGCCACGACAGTGGTTATTACGATACCATGATATTTGAAGAAGAAATATATTTTTCTTTGAGTAGTAGAGTCGAGTGATATTAATCAGGAGTTAGAATGTACCATGGATGTTTCTTGTAGCTTACAGATCTTTTAAAATGGTACGCTGCCGAGTTTAAAGACCCCATGATGCTGGATCCTCCCATCTGGTTCAAATCCTTCGTTTTCTGCGAGGCACTTCTACAAATGCCATTCTTTCCCATTGCAGCGTACGCATTTCTGAAAGGTGAGTGACCGATAGCGTTCAAAGTGCATAATTGTGATCTTTGATCGAAATCAGTCGCGGTTCTATAGTGACCTCTAGTGGTGACAGCAAGGAATCCAAATAATTCTTAGTAACTTAGCACTGGTCTTATTTACTATAAAAATGTCATCTTAGATGTGTAGGTCACTGGTGAATTCTCAGTTCTTTGGTCTCTTCCAGGTAGTTGTAGGTGGATCAGAACTCCAGCCATTATCTATTCCACCCACGTGGCCACGACCCTAATCCCCATCTTGGCATACATTCTGTTCAACCAGTTCCCAAATTCTCCTCACCCTGGGCCAAAAACCTCAAGAGAGCGCCTCACACTGATGGCTATATATTCCCCATATCTGATAATTCCTCTTATGCTGCTGCTCACAATGTTGTATCACCCATTGTATAACAATGCTCGCGCTGGAAAGGCTTCCGTGTCAGGGAAGAAGCACAGATAGGTGTCAGGCCAAACCTTCATTAAATGTTATGTGCCATGGAAGTTAATTATACCCATACAACTGTAAATGTATTATTTTGTCAACACATTGCATTTGGCAGCAGAAGGATCTGATCGTAGTCCTGCTAAAATTACTTCAGGCTGTCTGTCAAGACAGAAATTCATAAATACTGATTGCAAGGTGGAAATAGGCTGGAAAAATATGGAATATTTGGACTCCAGATTCAACTAAAATAAATACTGAATTCAGAGTTTGGGTTTGTATTGGTTTTATTGTAATAAATACCAGTTTCAACATTTGTTCAAAATGTATCTTTATTATACAATAACTGAAGGTGTAATTAAAATTAGACAAATCGATTTTAACCTTTACGTATTTGGTATAAAGTCCAGATACAGACTCCTGTAAATGTTTGCAAAATTATTTGTAGAACAGTACAACAAGCAAATATTCACAATTCAATAATTGCTATTTACAATATTTTCATTTGTACAAAATGTAATAAAAGATTTACAGTATAAGCATTTGGTTAAAAAGCACAAGAGACTTGGTAATTAAATATTCCAAATGTTTGTCTATATAAAAGACAAGCATAACTTTGGATTCCAGTTTGCGAAACACACCAGCTTTTGAGAAATATTTTCATAAGCTGAAATTTGCTGTACTGGATACACTGTTCATTCTTAATACAAACTGAAAAGACAGTCTAATTGTCTCCTATTAAAAATGCCATTCCTTTTCCGCTTGTCATCAAGCAACAAGAAGCACCTTGGATATGGAACAATATAAGGTTTAAGGTTCTACAAGACCTCATACTAGCAGCCCTATTCTCACTTCACAGCCTTATTTCTGAAGGATGAACTGGTCGATGAATTCATTCTGTTCGGCTTCCACCTTAGACAGCGCCTCATATTCAATCCTGTACCTGCCAGAGATGAGATTTTCACATGAGAAACAGGCATGAGAAGCGTGGAGGGGCTTTGCTGCCGTGCGGTGGGGTAGGAAGCGTCTGCTGATCACCTCTCCAGCTGCATCCGCTTCTCGGCCAGGAGGGCCTCCAACTGCTGCTGCTGCGCCTCCCTCTGCTTAGCCACAGACCTCAGCAGGTTTCTCGCTCCTATGGCCTGAGAAAGGAGAGCATCCACTTCACGGACTGGTACGGAGAGACGGCAACAGACAGGCACACGCTCTATGGGACTGCTTCATCACGCACACGTGTACATTAGCCTACCTTCATCTTCTCTCTCTCTGCCTCTCTTGCCAGCATGTCCACATGGTCAATCAGTCCACCTACAATCTTCTGAAACTGCCCAATTTCTGTTAAGGGGAAATAAAAAAAAGTAAATGGCAACGATATCTTAAACCGTTAGAGCAAACAGTACATTGCCAAAAGTATTGGGACACCCCTCCAAATCATTGAATTCAGGTGTTCCAATCACTTCCATACCCACAGGTGTGTAAAATCAAGCACCTAGGCATGCAGACTGCTTCTACAAACATTTGCAAAAGAATGGGTCGCTCTCAGGAGCTCAGTGAATTCAAGCTTGGTACCGTGATAGGATGCCACCTGTGCAATAAGTCCATTCGTGAATTTTCCTCGCTACTAGATATTCCACGGTCAACTGTTAGTGGGATTATAACAAAGTAGAAGCAATTGGGAACAACAGCAACTTAGCCATGAAGTGAGCAGTCGGCCACGTAAAATCACAGAGCGGGGACAACGCATGCTGAGGCACACAGTATGCAGAAGTCACCAACCGTCTGCAGAGTCAATAGCTACAGACAGACTGTGTGTGGCCTTCAGATTAGCTCAAGAACAGTGCATAGAGAACTTCATGGAATGGGTTTCCATGGCCGAGCAGCTGCATCCAAGCCTTACATCACCAAGTGCAATGCAAAGCATTGGATGCAGTGGTGTAAAGCACAGTGCCACTGGACTCTAAAACAGTGGAGATGTGATTGGCGGTTGCCAGAAGAAACAGTACTTGCCTGACTGCATTGTGCCAAGTGTAAAGTTTGGTGGAGGGGGGATTATGGTGTGGGGTTGTTTTCAGGGGTTGGACTTAGTGCCTTAGTTCCAGTGAAAGTAACTCAATGCTGCAGCATTCAAAGCCATTTTGGACAATTTCATGCTACTGACTTTCTGGGAACAATTTGGGGATGGCCCCTTCCTGTTCTAACATGACTGCACATCAGTGCACAAAGTGAGGTCCATAAGGACATGGATGAGCGAGTCTGGTCTGCAGGAACTTGACTGGCCTGCACAGAGCCCTGACTTCAACCCGATAGAACACCTTTGGGATGAATTAGAGCGGGGACTGCGAGCCAGGCCTTCTCATCCAACATCAGTGCCTGACCTCACAAATGCTCTCCTGGAAGAATGGTCAAAAATTCCCATAAACACACTCCTAAACCTTGTGGACAGCCTTCCCAGAAAAGTTGAAGCTGTTATAGCCACAAAGGGTGGGCCAACTGCATATTAAAGCCTATGTATTAAGAATGTGATGTCATTAAAGTTCATGTGTGTGTAAAGGCAGGTGTCCCAATACTTTTGGCAATATAATGTAGCTCTGGTTTACTTTGTAATAATACTCACTGTCTACAAAATCTTTGCATTCTTCCTTGAGCTCTGTGCTCCTCTGGCCCACCTCTGGCTCCAACACACGCAGTTTGTTGAAGTCATCAAAATGAAGACCAGCTTCAGCCAAAGGATCTGTCGCCATGACACTTATCCAGGCAGGGTAACCAGGGTAGGAAACACAGGTCTAAAGTCATCAAACAGACGCAATTACTGATTCCCCCTCACCTTTGCAGGTTAGATGCAGTCAACCACGCATATGTTTGTGAAGCAGAGGTTAAAAAAAATAGATTTAGAAAAATGTCCATCAAAATTAGACTCACAAAAACGAAAACTGGGTATTTATTATCAATAATTGGTTAAATACTGACCCAACTGACCCTGCTTTACCCTAATAAGATGATTAGTGTAATCGAGGTCAGCTGGGTGTCATTATCAGAGGTTCCTGCACCTGCAATAGCAGAGATGGGTCCAGTATCACAAAGTAGGATTTCTTGCTTTGTTGGATTTAAGGTAGTCTGGGCTAAATGTAAGTGAACAAAGAGAAAGTCCATTTAAACTGGGGTACCAACAAGTTATCTGGCTAAGCAACAGATCCAGCTCTGTGATACAAGCCCCTGTTGATCAATCACCATGGTAACATGAGAGATCACCCAAATACATCCTGCCGTCGTTCTGCCTCTACCCCCTGCTTGCTGACACAAATCGATACACGTGCTCTATGACAGGGCTACACAACTGAATATCGTTAAACAACGGTACAGATCGGTAAAGAGGTTCTTATTAAAATGTCGCGACGTGTTAAAATGTTATTGATGTCTAAATTGCAAGTGTGAATTCATTGAAAATGTATATATGTGTAATTTTCCACCGTCTGTCACCAAGTCCACTGACAATCACGGTTTATTTTCGCCACATACTAAAGGCACACTGACTTTCTATCTGTATGAGAATCGGCGTGTTGCTGTTTTAGAATAATTCTAGTTGCGACCATTAAACTTATGTCCAACAGGAGCCCCTGATATAGTCATCACTGAACAAAGGTTTGGACAAAGATAGCCAACGTCTGTAAAACAACTAGTAACAGTCAGGGTAAGCAGGTAAACATTAATGATGTGTTCGCGAGGTATGTTTACACAACTGCTTGTTTTGTTAATTTTTAACGGCAACACTTAAAAGTATACGTTAAAGAAGTATTTTCCTACCTTTGATATACAGTGATAAATAATGTCTCCTCGTAGATCGCGGATATGTGGCACTGACGTCACCTACGCCGAGGTCCTCGGATTGCATGTTTTGGTCGCTACCAGGGAGACGGGGTTGCCAAAGGCTGCACTATGTATAACCTACCCAGCTTAACTTCACTGAATTTCCTACATATCGGGTTTGAAGCAACTGTCGACATGTAGCAGCCCAAAATTTAAATATAAAGTTGATCTCTCTCATCATTTATTCAAATACAATACGCAGTACTGAAACAATATCTTCTGTTTTATTGTCACTCTGGCAACCCTGACATTGCTCGTCTTTACTACGGATTTCCCATAAGGCCATTCCGTTAATGTAGTTAGATTGCTAGTTAATTGCTGTTTTAATGACATTTACAAATACAGTGTTCTTGACGTTCTTCATTCGCTACCTCTGTTCATATTATATGCACAAAGAGTGTTGTATCACTTTTTTCCACGAGTTAACTATTTTTAAAACGCTTATTTTCCCATTCCTTATAGTTATGGGATATGTAGTTTTCTTTTACGTTTGATTTCAGGTTTTAAAAGAAACAGGCTGGCCGTGGAAAGGCGAAAGAACTACAAAACCCAGATTTCCTCGCGCTCCGCCTTTACCCGTTCCGCTTGAGGTATGACGGCAGTGTTTCTTGGGCAGCGTTAAAAAGTAGCTGACTTGTTAGCAAAAGGAAAGTTAACGTGAAGATACCTTTACATTTTAGCCAGCTCTGCGTTTACACCAGCTGTCATTGGTATGTGAATAGCTTTTAAATATTTGTATTAATGTGGACCTTGTCTGGCAGAATTATGCGAAGTACTTGCTCGATTATCGAAATAGCACTTTACCTTAACGCTTTATCGACGAGATTGCTAACATATCTACTGAGCTAGCTAACTATCTGCGTCTAATGCCGTTGTTATTTACTTTTAGGGCAGTTGCTGCCACCCAGTAAAGTTTTTTTGATAGCTAGTTAGTTGTTGTGTGTAAAATAATCACCAGAAACATAATTTCTGACGAATAAAATAATACTTAAAGCGAACACAAGGGAGCCACGCAAATGAATCTGCATTTGGAAACCTGACGGAATCTTTAAGTCCTTTTGTGTTAATAATAGTACTGTTAATACACTGTGGATCTAGGTGATTCTTTACAGACTTGGTTCTGGTGGTTGCTCTAAGCAGTCGGCATTGCAGGTGGATTAAACTTGGGTGTGTCCGAAATCGCGCACTTGCCTCAGTACACTGAGATGTAGTGCGTAGTGAGCACTTCCTTCTGTAGTGCACACTACCATGGGTAAGTGCTGTCCTAAATGGAACATTAACGTTTTGCACTTACCGGAAGTGACGGACTAGCATTTGATCGCGATTCTCCAGCGCGCCAAAATATCTGCCGTGATTTGTTTACAATGAATTTCCTTGTGGTTTTATTTGCGTGTATATAACCTATCTACTACCGCCTAACCGGCTAAAAAAACTGCTAACATTTACGTGTGCAAACTCTTCTAAGTCGATATAATCGCAAACTCAAATTATCTATCTGTCGTCAGAGAGTGACAGGCTACACACCGCAGTATACATCAGTAAAATAATTTTATTAACGTTACTTAAATTTATATGAAGCAGTTGCCTCCGCTTGCGCTTACGTGTCTTTGTTGTCCGCCTTAATTTAACAATGAAAACTTCCGCTACGTAGTCAAAATGGCGTTCGTTTAGTGCGAGTAGTGTCCATCATTCTGCACTGCGTTTTCTGGCCGTTTTCAGTGCACTGAATTTTGGCTTAGTTGTCAGTGTGAACGCACTACGCCCTAAAATCGCGCACTAAAAGTGCGCAAGTGCGCGATTTCGGACACGGCCCCCACCTCCAGTGTTCTGTTTTTTGTAGGACCACATTCCACTTCGCTGAGAAAGGGAGCACCGGAAAATGTCTGTTTGCAGGGGGGTTTCCTGATCTAACGGTCTCCTCAGCTGTCACTGAAGTGTACCTTAAATTTTATCAGTGTCACTTTCCTGTTTTAAAACAATCTGCTGTCTGCCTCGAAAAGTGAAGGAAATTACCTCATGTGGATAGCTGGCTGGCTGATGCATTCTGGCTGCAACTCTGTGTGTACGTGCTGTGTGTGTCTGGTTTTCTCCTCTCACTCACCATGTCTGTGCTGCTGTTTGGGCAGGTATGGGTGTGGCGAGCGGAGTGGTGCCGCAGCCGGCCCCCCTTTAAGGTGTCACCACGGCGGGGGAGGTCAGGCCCGCTGTCTGCAGGGTGGTCATCTACCTACAGAGGGACATGTCGGGGGGCGACTGTCTGCGGCCCGGCCCATCCGATTCCCCCGCTGCCACTCGCCCCAAGACCTATAGTGGTGCCGTGGGCCTGGGCAACAAGTATGTACGTCTGAACGTGGGCGGGAGCCTCTACTACAGCTCTCTGCAGGTGCTCACTCGGCAGGACACCATGCTCAAGGCCATGTTCAGTGGCAGGATGGAGGTGTTCACCGACAAGGAGGGTGGGTGCTAGGAGACCCCCACCTGAGACTGGGTGATGTGCACACGCAGACAAGCGGCCCTTTCAGCACAGGCAGTCATACTGCCCCCTACAGTTACACTGACGTACCTGCAATCAGATTAGATTTGGTAGTGCATGTGTGCAGGAGTGGTAACGTGTGTTTAAAGCAGCAGCCTTCTCCAATGTCAGCACAGACTGCCGCAAGCATAGTCTGCTGTTAAGCTGGGAGCATCCCGGTGTTCCATAGCAGAGACACTTGGGGAGAGGCTGCATTTAAGATGAGAATCTCAGAAAAAGCTGAAATTAAACTTAAATTGTTCAGACTGTACAGTACGCACCTGTCCAACACTCAGACAGAATGTCAGTGTATGGCGTATTAGTGATGTTTATTATAAAATAACTCTATGTGTCTAAGGCCCCATTTATTTAGCTACCTCAATGTAATTATATGAGTGAGGGGGTATGGATTTCCCCTCAGCCAGCAGGTAAATTATTATTTGCTTGTTCGTTTATCCTGAGCAGGCTGGATCTTGATCGACCGCTGCGGGAAGCACTTTGGAACCATCCTGAGCTTTCTGCGAGACGCCGCCGTGACCCTGCCGAATACCCGGCAGGGGGTCCGCGAGCTCATGGCCGAAGCCAAGCACTACCTCATCCAGGGGCTGGTGGACCTCTGCCAGGGCGCCCTGCAGGTCAGCGACTCGCAGTCGGCCCTCCCTGCTCCCGTCCTGTCCAGCTACCTGGGCACAGATGTGTGTTCGACTTGACTGAGTCACCCATATAATAGCAGTGTGACACGTGTTTCATTGGGTCTCCATGGAGACCACGCAGTGTGTGCTATAATTTTGTGAATCAACACTCATTAACAGAATTTGTGTGAATAATGTTATTTTTGGTTCAGTTTCACATCTGTTACAGATGAAATTGCAGTAAATCTGTCGGTATTTGCATAGGAGGTTTTACAGGGTTTAGCGGTAGAGCGTTACATTTCTCCTCTCCCTGGCAGCTCGCTGCGTGTTTTTGAAAAATGACTGCTGGGTTGAATCATCATTGATTGTTCCTGGGGTAAAATGGCGAAGCTGTGGGTGAATCATCAGCAAAGCAGCTTAGCTGTGGAAGCTCCAAGCTCACCCAGGTCTCTGTGTTGTGTTTGGTGCTCGTCGGTGGCTTGTGTTGCGAACGGCCTGCAGGAGGATAGGCTGCGAGCGCTCTGTGTGGTCCCGGTGATCACCTCCTTGAAGGAGGAGCAGCAGGTCATCCAGGCTTGCAGCCGGGTAAGGGCGGCACGGCTTGTACTCCAGCCCCAATCTGCTTTTCTTCCTCTTTCTCTCTTTGCTGCCAAGTTCAGGTTCTTCCTTGAATCAAACGATTGTTCTGTTGAACTGTTAGGCTTTGGCAAATGGACTGAACTTTTCTTTGTCTTCCAGCCTGTGGTGAAACTGCTCTACAACAGAAGCAACAACAAGTATTCCTACACCAGGTGCGTCTGATCCGCTGTGATGTCGCTCCACACAGGCCTCTCTTCTCTCACTAGATGGTACACTTTGACTTCACTCCCGTTCCCTGTACGATGTCCCGCAGTAACTCGGATGACAACCTGCTGAAGAACATCGAGCTCTTCGACAAACTGTGCCTGAGCTACAGCGGACGTATGCTTTTCATCAAGGACGTCATCGGAGATGAGATCTGCTGCTGGTCTTTCTATGGGCAGGGCCGCAAGTTGGCCGAGGTCTGCTGCACATCCATCGTCTACGCCACAGAGAAGAAGCAGACCAAGGTGAGTGCCCCCCTCTAGTGGCAAGCTTTGGTCCTGCTAGGCCTGGGACTGTGTGGTGCTTTTTTTTAGGTATATTTTCACGTTATGCTTATGGAGCAGACACTTTTATCAAAAGCAACATACAACTGAGAGAGCAGGGTCAGACTTCCTGGAGCAGCTAGGGGTTAAGGGCCTTGTTCATGGGCGCAATGGTGAAATCACTCTCCCGAACCTGAGATTCAAACCGACAACCTTCCGTTCAATCACAGCTTCCTAACTCACTGAGCCACACACCACCTCCATGATGGATTTCGCTGTTGCGTGGATGAAACTTAACTCGGAAAGTGATGTCCTCCTGCAGGCCGCTGCTGGGATTGCAGTGGGCTGTGTAAGAGAAGGGGGATCCTTGACAAATGGCTCATTATTGTCACATCTCCCCCTCGCAGGTGGAGTTCCCTGAGGCACGGATCTACGACGAAACTCTGAACGCGCTGCTGTACGAGACACTGCCAGTGCCCGACAACTCGCTGCTGGAGGCCACGCGGAGGCGTGCCCAGTGTGGCTCCCACAGCGAGGAGGAGGAGGCAGGGGAGATCCGTGAGCGTGTGCGCCGCATCCACGTCAAGAGGTACAGCACCTATGACGACCGCCCCCTGGGCCTCTAGATGCCATTGGAGTCCCGCTTGCCTCTTCACCTCTCGGCCCCCAGGCAGGTTCTCAGCCAGACTGGGTCCTCGACAGTCAGGTGTGGAGGGGGTGACACAAAGCCATCTTTTCTTCCTTCATTGGTATCTTGTGTTGCCAGTGAGATAAGGGCCTCACTGCCTGTGAGTATCCTGATGGGCCTCTACCTTCATTCATCTGTGGTTTTTGGACTCTCATGTAAAGTATCTGTATCCAGTGCTACACCACAAAGTGCCACAGAGTGAAAGTGAAAGTGCTTTAATCATTTCTTAAATACTCTTTTATAGTGTTCCAGATTTGGCAGTTTTACAACATCCAGTATCTGTGCATAGATATTTCTTCCCTCATACTGGTATAGCTTTTAAAACATAACGTTTTAGCTACTCTGAACTATCATGTTCTGCTCAGTGAAAATACAGTAATACTGTAAAGTTTTTTTTATAAAAAATGTTCTGGGATATTTTTTAGCCATTCTGTAACTGTAATGAGGGTGCTGTAATGAGCTTTGTGGGCTATTTGTCTTTCTGGGTGACCGCGATACGTTTCTCTTGACGCCACTCTGGACATTAGGCTCTGAAAGTGCTCTGTCAGCTGTGAGGGAATATTTTTTTTCCTTGTGATTTATAACAAGCTCCTATTTATTGTTCACACTTGTAATGAAACCTGGAAATCGGATGAAGATGAAGGGGGCCCTCCGGAGGGGGAGGTGATAATGCTGAAATTTTTTATCGCCCAGGAGCTTGTCGGCAATCAGAGAGCTCCACACAGAAACACTACACTCGCATACTTACACACTGCTCAGTGGTGGTGATGTTTTATTCCCTTTCTAATTTGTGAATAAATCATGAAATGCTGCACATTGTAACTTTATGCACCGGGAAATAAAATGGTTATCGTTTCTGGATTGTAGCTGGACAACCTCAGACCTGTTTTTCCCTTATAAACCAAATTGCGATGGCTGCACCTTCGCGGAATGTTGGCCGTCCCTCTGGGGTCTGAACACATGTATCATTTATGTGTTCAGTGGCCTTAGATGTTTCAGCTGGGGGTGTTCTTTAAATAAAAATGACAGGTCATCTATATCAGTTGTTCACCTGCCCCATGCGACATCTTTGCATCATGTCCTATTGCTCGCTGTCTGGTTTCTTCTCGTGTTTGTCCTTTGCTTATAAGATTACTGACCGTGTCCCTGTATCACCACCAAGGCCATTCCAGGTTTTAGACCTGAAGCTCCAGGTGAGCCGATTTGCTGCTCAGAGATGTTTCTGGTGTGTCTAATTATGTATGTGTCATCCTGTGGAATGTGTCAGTGTATTCTGGGAGTTTTGGGGTCTTCCTGCAGCGCTTTGCTCTCTTGACAGCATACACTGGGCAAAGATATGCAGGTTGGGCCCTCTCTGGATTCCCCAGCTCATGGTGATTTGGCTTTAGTGGGTTAATGCTGCCTTTTCCCTGTTGCATATTTAAGCCTGTTTAAAGACACCCAGTATGTTTTTATTTTTCAAACACCCACAGTGCCAGTTCTGATTAGTGAGACACATAGTGACGCGTCATAAAGCATGTAAGGGAAATCTGTTATTTACGCAATCAGTAAAGCCAATGACTGTTATTTCTGCACTCTGTAAGACATATGACTTTGTGTGACAAAAAAATGCAAAAAAGTGCCTCCATAATTTGAAATGTTTTGTATATGGTTTCTGTATTAATTTTCTTTTTTAAATAAAAGGGTTTCAAATAATTGCTGTGCTATAGTTTGTGGTGTGAACCTGTTACTAGCTGTTACATTCAGTTCCTAAATGACGTCTTATTCTCGTGGATTTCACGTAGTACCTGTTAAATACTGTACAAGTTTTGGTCGAATATTTGCGCCGATATATGTAATGGTATTTTTCCACCCCAAGATGGCGCATTGTGAATATTGTAGAGGAAGATAAATCCGCGTATTTTGTGGTATGACGACACATTTATTTATACTGCAGGTTGATGTCACGTTTCAAAAACGGGATTTCATGAGAACAAATTCACAAAGCTTGAGGGGCAAGAATGAAATATCTGGATTTAATCAAAATCTTCAAATATAAGGTTTACGTGCGTTTCATCGCAATTTTCTGTCAACCACAGATTTCACGTGAACTATTAAACACTATTAGCAAGTTTTACTTATAGTAAATCTGATTAATGTAATTTTATGCTCGTTTTTAAATCGCTATTATGTTTGTGGTTTTCTACGTCGTTTCTCTTGGAGAAGGTAATCTAACGGGCGAGTGTGGTACAGGCTAGACCTGTTACATAGACGAGTTCACAAACCCATCAGCCCTGCTCATTGCTTTTTTTCATTCCTTCCTCCCTTTATTTTCCCAGTGAGAGAGGAGTTATAAATAAACGGCTGTCAGTGACGAGCCGCCTCGCATCGTCACCGCGTGAATTGTTGCTCCCCATTGATCAGCGGCGGGCGGGGTCTCGAGGGGGCGGGGTCGAGTGGTGGCGTCATTCCGGAGGAGCTGAAGATGGCTCCTCACTGGGCTCCTCTGGCACACAGATGCGTCAGTTTCCAGCTGCTGGACCGCAAGTTCATGTTGTGAGCAGGAGAAAAGGAGGAAGACCAAAAGCGTAGCGGCTCTGAGGGGTGCAGCTCTCCGCCCGTTGCTTGCCGTTAAGCAGCCTGACCAGTCCGTCTGCCATGGGTTCGGCCACGGATGAAGAATTTAAAGAGAAATTGCTGTGGAATGTGAAGCGGGAGGTAAGTGCCTCCGTCCGTCTTTCCCCGTCGAGCCGCACGCCTAACGCTGCCTGGTTCACACCCGACGCGGGGAATCGTGTCGCTGTCAGCCGGCGCCGGTTTAACCTGTCCGTAATGAATGACAGCTCCATCGGTAGCCTACGTTGTCCCCCACTCGCAGCATGTTTATTACTATAAGTTTAACATTAACTCGTTATTATTCCTTGCCATCTTGTCACCATTTATTTCTGAGACTTCGCGGGGAGAGGAGTCTTGCGACCGTTAGCGCTGCATCCCCCGGTGGCACTTATCCCTGTACCGGAGCATGATGTCACTGTCACACCGCACTAATGGCACCTCTTCACCACTATCGTGCACAACGAGGATCTGCATTTAAATGTGCAAACGTAAAATCCGCAGCCTCGTAAGCGTTTGTGCGGCACTTGTGAGTGGCTCTCTCCAGCTGTGATGTAGTCTTTGTGCAAAGGAATTTTAAGGTAAAACGCCTTTCTAATAAATATCACAAAGTAGGCTAAACGATGCATCTGCCGATTGGTTGTAACATGAATGTAAATGTGAGGGTACCGTGCTCTCCGCTGCCTTTTCTTTAATATCTCCCCCGATGGTTCCCCGGTGCGGAGGTCGAACAACAGGTGATTAAACAGCCCCGCCGTCGCCGGGCAACTAGTTAAAATGCGACCAGCGCTTTTATCGAAAGCTTCCCTGTTCAAACAAAGCAAATCAATGACTGGGGCAGCGGGGTTGGCGACAAAGTGACAGAGGCGTCTGCTCTCGGAAGGGCAGCAAAGATGCCAGGCTTGTATGCCAACCGGCGTGTTTCTCCTGGGATATTCAACGGAACATTTCAAGGTTGCCCTGTTTTGTGACGTATAAGTTTAAATGGTACCTGCACTTTTTGTTTAAACATTTGATCCTGAAATCAGCAGGAACAGTTAAGTCGTGGAGTAGTCGTATTACCTGGAGTAGCTGTCAGATTTCACTATAAAGCCCAGCTTTGGGAATAGCCCTGGCTTTTGGAGCAAACAGAATTTCCCACAAAGTTTCTTGGTCAGTGTATGGCAACTGGTATCTTTGTGTAAGACAGAAACAGGTCTGAATACCTTATTTTAAAAAAAGATTACTCACCACAGTCTGTGAAAGATTAATTAAAGGGGTGTATTAATAGTCACAGTCCTGTCTTGTGTCGGTCAGTCCTGAAGAGTGTTCCTGATTTAGGTCACCATTAATCATAGTGCACAGTCCATTCATACATTTTTTTTTGTGCTAGTTAGTGTCGTGACTTCCCCCCTCCCCCCCAGTGAGGAGCAGCCAGTCTTCCATTCCCTTCCCTTCTTCCACATTTGCTCCCATGAATAATTGAAATGCTCTTGGTTCTGCGGTTGAGAGTGGGGTCAACGCCCAGACGCCTGCACCAGCGCCGCCTGACACCAGCCATCAGACGTGGGCTCATTATTCGAACCGCTATATATCTGAGCCCAGCCTCAGGGTGTCGTGTTTCTATACAGTATCTCACCCTCCCAGCATCTTCATCTCATAAGACTTTCAGGCCACATGTGCTGCCTGTATCACATTGTCACTGTATTACAGGTGTCTCTGACATAATGTTTAGAATTGGCAGAAATATTTCCCGGCTCACCTATAAATGCTGAGCTCGGCCAGCAAAGATTGCAGTACTTGCGCAGTGATTGTTTTTTTTTCCCCAGAATGGTGCTTGAGAGTTTATACGCTTTTGTGATTTTTGGTTTTGTTTTGCCTTTTTCTGTGTCCCTGTGCTGTGCTCATATCAATAAATCAGCTTTCTCTTGAACCAGACAAACATTTTTGAAAAATGTGTGTTAGCACACGTTTTCATGTCTAAGTGCCTGGGGACTGGGTTGGGGTTGGGATTAGGGTTCTAATACGGGAGTGTAGGTAATGGGGAGCACGTCCCTCTTAACAGGTCTCAGCGGTTTGTATGTATCCATGACTCCTTCGCGTATTTAAAAATCTTTAGCAGACTATTCTATAGGAAACTGTTCCCACCCTGTTGATGTCCATGAGTCCTCTTCCTCCTCCTCTTCCACCTCCTCCTCCTCCTTCATGTGGTGGCTCTGCTGTAAGCAGTTGTCTCTTTAAGCCTTATCCATCCTCCTCTGTGTTGCTTGGCAACTGAAAGCATCAGCAGCTACCTAAGAAGATAAATTGCATCAATTGACGATTAATACTGTCAGAGGCGGCTCGCTCGGGGACAGGATGGGCTGCTTGCAGCCCCGTAGTCCAGCTTTTCTCCCTATGAAGCTCTCTGTCTGGTGAATGTTATGTGTCCATCTTATGTTTATGCATCCTATTGGCACCGTACTTTTAATTGTTGTGTTTCTGCTATGGTGAGCAGCTACATTCTGCTCTACTCCAGTTATACCAGTCTACCCCACAACATGTTTTCTCTCCTGCCGGTCAGTCCGTCTCCACGAAACGATGATGGTGTCTCTCTTGCCTCTGAGATCCCCTTTCGCCAAGTGTCACGACTCTGCGTGACTGCCAGCAGCTCAAAGCTGGTGAGATCCCGCGGCATGGCAGAGAGCCGCCTATGCGCGACGCGGCCCCCAGTGGCCGTGTCCAGCATTGCGGCTGCTCAGCAGGGGATGCCCGCGTGAGATGTCAGAGCCAGCCAGCCAGGCCTGCCTGCATTGAGGTCTTATGAGTGGGTAATCAGACGTGTCATCTGCCTCTCCTGCCGGCAGAGCTGAGTGCGTGGCGGTCATGTTGGGGGGGGGTGTCACTGCACTCCTCTGTGCTTTGGATGGAGGCGGCAGTCGAGCGCACATCCTCTGCCGAGGAGTGGGCTGAGCACCCCAGAGTGATACACGACACACCATGCTATTTATTTATTTGCTTGCTACGCAGTGCTTTGTGGGGCCTGACAGAGGTGTGTTTATGTGAAATTTAGCTACTGAAGAAATCTTTTGTTTTTTTTTTTTTTTGTTCAGTTTTTTTATTGCGGCATGTTTACTGTTGTCAGAGCTTCCGATCACTTCAAAAATCCATTGAGGGGTTTAGTATCTTTATGGTGATAATTCCATGCTCCATATTAACAGTTAAACAATTAAAGTATGTAGTCTTCACATTATTGCTCCTTTTTGACACTCCTGTCCCATACGGCTTGCAGGTAATTCCCCCCCCTCAGGTTGTGCTGTATTGGTTTGTCCCTGCCCCCCACAGTTGCATTGGTCTGTCCTTCACTCCCTTAGATGGCCCTGAGCCTTTGTCCCACCAGTCACCTGCAGTCTCTTGCTGTCTCTTGTTTGCCAGTGTGTGGCTTCCCAGGGTTGTTTGTTGCACTGGTTTTTGGACACGCCCCCCTCCCCAATGCTCCTTTGTTGCCTGTCACTTTACTGGCATGTTTAAGATTTGTGACGGGCACCCTAGTGCTGTGTTTGACTGTCCGGCTCACCAAAAAAAAAGTCTTTGCGCTCTGCTTTAGAACAAGGTTTTCCATGCTCTAGTGAGGTCTTGGAGACGTGGCACCACACACCTTCTGCATGTGTTTGTGTGTCCCGTGTGCCGGCCTGGCTTGGCTTGGCTCCCAGCTCTGCCTCACCATAGCGCTGCCGACATACCGTAGCATTGCTGAAACAATTAACAGCTGTAATGATTCAAGAGGCTGCAAATTAGATACCATTCTTCGCTGCTGGAAGCGCTATGGGCCGCTGTGCAGAGTGCATAGAGAGGGGACCCCTGTTAACTGTGCGTACCCTTCTTACTAACGGCCGTAACTTTATAACACAAAAATCCTCCATATATAACCGTTTCCGCATTATAGTATTTATAGCTACAGCATGTGCCTGAAAATTTCGATTATGTATCATATAATTATGTTTGCAATTGTGTTGTTGTGTTGTGAAGCATCATCCATAATATTATCGATTTATCACAGTAATAATTATTAAAATCATGCCTGTTAAGCAAACATGTTGTTACCAAACTAAATTTACAATAATGATCAATAAAATATCTCAAAGGAGATAAATTTACAGTTATAATCAATAAAACGCATATCTCTCTAGCCAAATATCCATTATTAATCTAATATAACTTGTCAGTGAAACTATTCTTATCGACCTAAGTACAAGGTTATAATCCATAAAATGTGGCTATCGAGCTGAATCTGCATTAATCATCTAATAAAAGATTTCAGTTATAGCTATTGTCAAGTTAAATGTAAACAATTATTATAATACCCTAATAAATATCAACATATATTTTTAAAAACATTTGTTGAACTTGGGGAAAAAATATATACAGTGATATACAGTGAAACTGTCAGAATTTTTAAAAATACCCTGATACTAATTTCTGGTAATACTCCCCAGTACTTCTTCACCGTGACACCTGCAGCTGCTCTCCTGCAACTGCTCGCCTGTAGCTGTTCATCCATAACTGCTGCCCTGTAATTGTAGCTGCTCCCCCGTAATGGTAGCTGCTCATCTGCAGCTGCTTCCTCGTAGTGGTAGCTGCTCCCCCGTAACGGTAGCTGCTCATGTGTAGTTGCTCACCCATAACTGTACCTGTCCAGCTGTAACTGTAGCTGCGCCTCCATAACTGCTCTGTTGTAACTATAGCTGCTGATCCGTAACTGTAGCTGCTCTCCCATGACTGTAACTGTTCGCCCATAACTGCTATCCTCAGAGGCTAGGAGGCGAAATGCCACATGCCCGGCCCACTGTGAGGTTCAGCCCAGACCCTGAGTGGCTTGGCTACTTGCAGAAGAGGGTGCAGGTGCCAACCTAAACATTCCCCATTCCCCACCCCTCCTCTGCTGCTGTTTGCCTGCTATTAGTTCCTTCCTTCCTTCCTTCCTTTCTTCCCTTTTTCTGGGCTGGTCTGTACTGGACTGTAATCTCGCATCTGGCCTGACTGTCTCATTGTTTGAGAGAAGCAGCCTGAAGGGTGATCTGAGAGTACAGACTTCACAGCCTTGCGGTAGCTAATGGCCCAAAGGCGGCATGCATTTACTGTATCACTCCATTTGTCCCTCCTGACTGTGCGTCTGACTCTGACTCCTTATGTTTCTTGACTCTCCTCTGCCTTCAGTTTAAAGCTGGTATTCCCTTAATTCTGGCACCTTGTGTTCTAGACATGTGTGCTTGTGCTTGTGTGTTTTACTGAGCATGCAGTTACCTGCACACCTGCCTGATGTTCATTCACCCGCCTGCCGTTTTTTTTCCCCTCCTGCGTATTGTTGGGGGAGGGTGTTTTGAGTCGGTCCCCAGTTTGATCTCTTGTGTTTCATGGACGTCATCGGCAGGATTTGTTTGTTTCTGGCAAATCCCTGAGATGCCACCCCACGCAGAATAGCCCATTACCCAGCAAAGCCCCCATCAGCATGGGGGGGGGGAGGGGGGAATGGAGAGCCTTTTGCTCCTTGGTCTTGCGCTGTAACAATAGCTCACAGGCAGAGTTAATCAAATGACAAGCTCAGTCCCCCCTCAGCCCCCTTCCCACTCTGCCCGTGCTGCGGATGATGAGGGAGGCTTTTACCACGACTAGGGAAATTGTAGGTTATCAGTGTGTTTCTGCTGCTGCCACCAGAATGGCCTCATAATTGTCATGATTGCGGCGAGTCTCAGATTCCGTGAGAGCACCGTTTTACCACGGACGCAATCGCATCAGCAATTAGGCCCTCAGTCATGCCGGGGGGGGGGGGGGGGGTCCTGGTTCATGAGAAGACGCGGCTTCCTTCACACTCTCATCGCAGTGTCTGTATGGGCGTTTCGCTATGTCTGTTTTCGTCTTGCCTTTTAGGATGGCTTTGTTTGCCCTGGTGGCCAGAATGGGTGGGTGTGTCTCTTCTGCCAGGGTCCTCCTCCTATTTCTTGATGCCCCGCCCAGCACCAGTCTGGCTCCAACACACTTTTCCCTGCCGGCTGATGGTGCGCAATTTTGCCGTTACAGGTGAAGCGGATCATGGAGGAGGCGGTCACCAAGAAGTTTGTGCACGAGGACAGCAGTCACGTGATAGCTCTGTGTGGTAAGTAAGCCTTCCTGGCCTCTGCTGGTGTCGTTCCTGAGAGCCCAGTGCCCGTAAACATGCGTGCCTCTGAATGGGGCCCCTTGGTGCCGCTCCGTCTCTTGACGTCACATCATCACCATCATCATTCCTCTGCTGATGCATCACAAAGGTAATAGTGACCATATCTGCACAGCTGCCTGTCACATACCCCGTCCCCTCAGGCGCGGCATCTCTCTGCACGCTTCTTTCTCCCTGGACCATCTCCAGCCCATCTGAGCATCACTGACATGTCAGTCGCGCCATGGGGAAACGCCCCTCTATTTGAAGCCAGTTCACGTCAACCTGGGCCTCAAAATCAGGGGCCCTCGGTGCCACCTTACTACGGTCCCCACACCTTTATTGCAAAAGATACTCTAGACATCTCTGGAAGTCGTGGCCCGCCCAGTAGTTCTTCGTGCTTAAAATTCCCTTAGTCCCCAGATGATGCTTTAATCACATTAGTGGACTGGACGTTTCACTGGAGATTCCTCTGCGGGAGGTGTGTCGTTTCAAATGCGGCTGTCAGCCCTGCAATTACAGCCCTGCGCCCTTTCCTGTTCTCTTGCATGTATTTCAATTTCAATTTCAATTTCAATTTCAAAAAACTTTATTTGTCCCCGAGGGGCAATTTAAAAGGCATAGAGGAGCAACGCACACAAATAACAGTAGTAACATTAAACGCAACCGATGACACACAGACACACAATAAACTATGAACATAATAAATGACTAAAAGTACAGAGGCAATAGTATTGATTATTTGGTGTTTGTTACAGAAGCATTAAACGCGCAGTGACAGTGTGCAGGTGTGCAGGCCGCAGTGAAGCACCCACTAAACGATTAGCTTACTGTGGCCTTTGACACTCTCACACTGTGTCAGTGTGACGTCTTCCAGTCACCCTGAGGTTGACATGGCTACAGGTCCAGGCTGACATCCCAGCGCAGCATCAGTCACGGTCCCATCTGGAGGCCTGTGAGTCCCCCTCACCGGCAAATGCGGCACTCCATGCAGTGCGATTGGGCAGTGCATGTGAAGCCTGGTCTTCCACAGCAGATTGTGTGTGCGGAAACGACCTGTAATAAATCAAGCAAAAGCAGTCGGTGTGTCCTGGGTATTATCTGGCCGGCACACGGGCAGGTGACAGGTCTCATCTTGATGACATCATGACCACTTATGTCTCTATGACTCTATGCCGCTTTGATTCGGCTGCTGCCACCCCCCCCC